AAAACACTTGAGGAGATACTCACCAAGGGCGAGACAAAGACAAGATAAAATAGCAGGTATCCAAGAGGCGACCGAGGCTGAAGAATCTTTGAATGTTTCCATCACCTCAACGTATAGCACCCCGTAAGACTTCATCAGTCCAGTCACCCAGAATTGAACGAAAAACGCTCCGCATACGATCACCCAGCCATAACCGCCGTCTAATGGAACGTACTTGATGTTCCTCGATTTTTTCGTTTCGCATCTCTTAGGTTTCTTCCTCTTAGTAATGGAAGTTTTTGTCGATCGGAGTTCACGAGATTTGGCAATCAACGGCCTGGCCGTAAGGCTCGATATGGTCAGAAGATTGTCGTTATCTTCGTCCTCGATTGTGTCTGGACTTTGAAGATGCGGTGGTACGATCGGCGTTGATGTTGCTGTTGCTTGAACGGCCAATGAAGCTGGTCTTTTTGGTGAAGGTATACCTGTGCTCAGATCGAAAACGGGCGCTGAGTGGATCGACAAAAGGGAGCCTAGTTGATTCTGTTGATTCATATTCTCGTCGATGACAGTGGTACCGACCATCTCCTGCGACGCTGTCGCACAGGCGACAGCGTCACGTTCAACCGAATCCTGCAGGCTCCATTCTCGTGGTAACGACATATTTCTGTGGCTTCGTTCACGCGAGGTGGACCGTAATACATTGGAGTTACGTTGCTTTTCCCCTTCGTCCTTTGGTTTCAGCTGGCAAACTGTCTTTTTTTTTTTTTTCACCTGCTTTACCTTCTCCAATCTCCTTTTGTCTCTTATATGAAAAACGAGACGCTCTATATCTCTATCTATGCATTTGTCTCTAGGCTTCCAAAATCGTTTTCTATATTTTTCTCTATCTATCTTACTAGGTATCAGTCGTCGCTTTCCCTTATTCTTTCTTCTTATTCTTTGTTCGAGTTCCTCAAACCCTTCAAATCTTCCTGTTTTTTTGGAAGGTTGACACCTTATCAGAATCGGTCCACCCCGACTTGACTTCCTCGTTACTTATCCACCGTCGATCTCCTTCTCACCATTTACACGTTCTCCAAGGTTCTCCTGACTCGGTCTAAGGGTGCTTGGTAAATAACCAAAGTGGAAAGGGTGCGCACGCAGAGGAGGTCGCCACCAAGTGGAAACTTACGGGATCGATATGCAGCCACGACTGACGCACTGGCATCTCGCGGTGTAGTTACCACCACGTGGCTTGGAAACAATGCAGGGACCTATCGGTTTATTGTCCTGCCAATCGACCCACTTTTCCATCAGCTCTCGCCTCAACCAGCTTCTATGACCGCTTCCACTCCGTAATCCTTGCTCCTGGGCGATCTTCGATCGGTTTAGATCGCGTGTTCTGCTTTCTTTCCCAGCTTCAATTATTCCAACATCTTTAGAAACGATGGACGTCATCAGAATTAATCATTGGGGAGAAACTGATCACAAGGAGACGTCACCAGTTGTTACGACCACTGAGAAATCCTGAATCCTCCTGGCAATACTTTTCTAATTTTATACTGACGAACCTGAATGCTTTGGAGTCAGATATAAATTATTCTTACTGAAATTTATCGGAAAATAATTCATACAGTAATAAAAATTTCTTATCGGATCTTTTACATATCATGTATTACAAAAGAAACAATGAACTTTAACTAATATTGGACATAAAATATGGCAAGCAAGAAGAATAATGTAAAGATCGTTTTGTAGTTATGTAATATTAATTACAATTATTTAAAATACCTTTGAAATATTTGGAATGTAAAATGAAAAAAATCTATTTAAACTTTTGCACGCCAGCGTATAATAAGAATTGATCCTACTATCTATCATTTCTCATTCAGATAAATGAACTCGATCAGTAGGAAATTTATTTGGAAACTAACATTCAATAGGTAGAATTCTATTCGCAAATTAGACGCGAGCCGATTTAAATAGTTCTGAGGATAGAAGAGGAATGAGAAGACTAAAACAAGTAGGGAAGAATAGATTATTGGAACGATCGAAAAGAAAATTGTAAGGTCAACTGGAAAACGGGAGAAACATCCTAATATTGCAATAGTGGGGACGAGGTCTGTGCGCAGCATCCGAACGGATCAATGAATCTCTGACTTCTGTCTCTCAGATCCACTTTCGCGCTCGACGTTAACACTGGCACCGTCCATCGTGTACTCAGATAAGGGCGTGAACGATTTTCAAATGAATCGCAAATCTATACGTCCCTGAATATTACGTGAAAAAACTCAACGGCTATAGACGGTATATCCGGTATGTTCAGATTTCATCTTTGAGAAAACATCTTTGGAGATAAACTGCTCCAGAAGAATAATATGTAGTTAAAGTTTATGTTCTTATGTTTTTTTTTTTATGTTCATCTTTCCTCTGTAACATTGAATTTATGTTAATACGATTCAT